TAAACTGATACAAGAAAGAGTTGAGCTGATACCGATGTGTGTGTGCAATAGATCTGCATTGTTTCAATAGACTGACCTAACAGAACATTTAAAATCTGCAATTTGTGTCATTTGAGCAAGCTCTCAGTACTTCTTAGAAATTGTTTAAAATCTCAGCTTTAATCAAATAACATTGCTATTTAAAGCAGAGAGAGAAACATGCTCTGAATTGATTAGTGCCTCAAATAGTTTTCAGCTCTTAGTCAGTATTGACTGCAAGAGCTGTTTTCAACTTGCAGGGACTTGTGGACTATGTTTCAAATGCCTGCAAAAGTTAATCATTACAGCAAAGCCAGTCTCAAATAATGTGGATGTGTCACTTTTTTCCGTGGCCCTGTGTTCTCACCACTTTCCTTATATTACATCAAGGCAGCTAGGGAGTCAGTTCAGCTGGCCGACCTGGCAGAACATTTCTCTCGATGCTTTTGTTTTCCTATTGGATTTTAACTGAAGCTATTTGACTTACCCAAGGATCGTAAGGTCTGAAACAAAGGAGAGGGGAGGCTGGACTGCCCTTGCTAGTAGTTTGCTGCTAGATCACTTCAGCTGTCATGGGAAAAAACACTAAATTTAAGTATTACAGCACATTTCCCTCCATAGGGAATATTTTTAGGGGTTCATCTATAAAAGGAGGGAGGGAGAGAAGTTGCAAATCACTGGCATAGAGCTGAGGTGGATGGCTTTCCTTTGGCTTGTGACCGGCAGAGGGCATCTTTGTATAACAGTAGCTCTTCTGTGCCTTGGTATTTTTCCCATTTATTTATTTATTTACTTACTTATTTATTTATTTTGCAGGAACTCAAACATGACTTCAGCAAAAAGATGGCTTAACTGTTTGCATATCTCCCAACTTGCTCTGTCATTTGACCTTTACTACCCTGCCAGATGTCGGAAAGCAGAGGGCTGGCAGAAGACAGCTGCATCTTGGGCTTTAAAAGTGGAGAAATCTAGAGGAGGAGGAGGTTATATGCTGTTTCTAGTCCTGCAGTAAATCGAGGTGCTGCTTCTATCTTTCAGTGCATGTCTGTGCGTCCTGTGTGTCTTTGTACTGCTTTAAGTGGTTTTCTGTAAAAGAGATGGCTCTTAAGAATGGGAAACTAGCCATTACATGCAAGACAGGTCTCCCAGGAAATTGCACCTATCTTTAGAAGTTGACTGCAGCCTCTGCCTGAGGGACACGTCTCAGGAGAACTGAGCTTGACTGTCACTTAGATTTAGGGAATCTGTGTCTTGGCAGATGTCTTTCCATCACAGAACAGACAAACTTTCCATTTGGGATGCAAGTGCTGGGAAGAAGGGACTCTTGCAGCCCCTGTAAGTCAAGGATAACCAAGTGTCCTTTTGAGCTAGATGGGGCCACGAGGCAGAAGTCACTGGACCCCAGCAACATGATTGAGCTCACAGGCCAACCAAACTGCAAGTAGGAACAGGGAACACGGACTCAGCCTAGGTTTAGTACAGTGCTTTTTAGGGCACTGCATGACCATATAGATGTGAGGAGTCATTCCGGATCCTGGGCCCAGCTCAAGACACCTGGATCAGTCCCTTCCCCTAGCAAGTGTTCCTCTTGCCCCCTTCCCTGCCAACCTACAAAATTTCAACCCAATAGGTAATAGCATCATGGGGCCCCAATGCTGGGCAGGATCCCCAGGTGCTGCGTGCACCTGCAGACACAGTAGGAGAATGCCTGTGCCGATGAGAAATGCAGAAGGGATGGAGGAAAGAGAGGGCTGTGGGAATCTCTCCAAGGTCTCTTATTTCTCAGCCCAGTGACCAGGGTTACAGGCTATACTGTTGATTTGCCCAGCTCCCATCCATTTAATTCAGGTTTTCAGCCCAGTGAAAAGATTGCATGTGTCCGTCCCAGTCTGCTGTCTCTTGTTTCACCTGGGGGATGTCTCCCATGCCTACCAGTCACATGTGACTTGTTCTACAGGGAGGAAAACCAACTAAAGTTTGAAGGAGAAGGTTACTCTATATTTAAGAGATTTGTCATACTTGTACACTGAGATTACTTTTGACATAGTTGCAATTTATTCTTTCCTAGAAAGGTTTAGTACTTCCAAGTCCTTCTTTACCATTGATCTAAAGCACAATTAATTGCTGTAGATGCACTTGCAGGGGCTGGAGACGCTTCAAGGAACGTGTTGCAGACACTTCTTATTACTTCTAATTTAAGGGAAGCTAAAGGATAGACGTCTAACATCACTGCATTATTTTTTTGCATTAAAATCTCCCAGCGGCAGGAAGTTTCCAGAGCCAAGGCCCAGAACCGCAACCTATTTCTGCTTTGTGCCAGTGCACTCAGATGCACGGCATGACACCTCCGGGGTCCCGGGTGAGCGAGTGAATCCCTTTCCCTAGCGCCCACCTTGCTGGTCTGAGCTGGTGTTTGCCAATGTTAGTTATTATTTATTGCTTTCAGCTTCCTCCCAGGCATGGCCAGTGCATCCACCAGCAGCTGGTGGCTCTGCTCTGGTGGCAGTGGGCTGGGGGAGGACGTGTGCTGTCTATTTGGCGTGGAGCTAGATGGCACGTGGTAGCACAGCTGGCCTCAGAGCCAGCAGTCCTTGTGGCACTTGCTCTCTGCCAAACTGGCAGGCGGGACCAGCAATGTTGTGCCCACAGAGGATAACTCCCAGTCTGTCTTGCTGTAAACAAGGCTGCTCGTCCTTGATGTCTGGGCTGCAGCTTATGCTATCTGTGCTCCTCCAGCTACTCTGCTCCCCTCTCCCTGCTCTGCTGAAGCGTCTGTTTTGGTTAAAGCCTGCTTATCTCTACCCACAACCAGCCAGGAGGTTCATGCAGATAGCTGAAGTTTGAGCACCCATCTGCAGGGCCGCAGTCTCCCAGGCCTTCCCTCTGCCATTCAGTGCAGGTGGAGGGGCTGGACACTCCTTTAAGCTCTTGACTGCTGCAAAAAAGACTTTGCAGCTTTGGGTAGAAATCAGGTGCGGTGGCGAGCTGTGGTCACCCCAAGCTGGCTGCAGAGTGTGGTGGGAATACACGCTGCCCAGAGGGGAGAGGAGCGACCCTTCACAAAACCTGCCTGGAGCTGTTCTCCATCCCC